CAAACATAATTAAATCAGAACTGCCAATATAAAAAATACCACAAATCACAAATTTACAAACTCGGACACTAAACTAAGGGAAGAAACTAAAAAAAAAGGTGAAATCTCAGAAATGAAGGGGTAAGATATACACTGAAGGTGTATAAAAGCAGATAGAGGCTAAAGATGAAAACAGAGAAGATAATTCAAATTTTAAAAAAATTAAAAAGTAAAAAGGACCAGAGGGAAATTGATAGAAACAAAAAATACATAAATAAGATTAAATAATACCTATAGTTGAAGTTCCTGAAGAGGAAACACAAAACAATAAAACATAATATTTAAAACTATAATTTAAAAATCTCTAAAATAAAAGACATCAATGTACAATGCGTTTCTGGAAATATTGACTGGAAACATGGTTACCTTTGAAGCATATCAAGTAAAAGTCTTAGGCTTTAAATAATAATAGTAGTGGTAATAAAAATCTTATGGGCCTCCTGGCAAAAGGACCAAAGGAAATAAAATCAGGTTGACATTAAACTTATCAACAGCAACATACAAAACAAGTAAAGAGTAAGGTGACATTTTCAAGGAAGTCAAGGAAAGACAGTCTGAGACAAGAATTTTGTATCAGTTCAACTCTTTATCAATTCTCACGGTTGTAGAAAATGTTTTAATAGATATGCAAAAATTCTAAGAATCCTGAGAAATCTATTAAAGAATGAATTCCTCCAACTAAGAGATAATTGAGAAAAACTTTAGAAATGGACGCGTGCTTAGCATGTAATATATTGTAGAACTGAGGCTAAAACAAAATTGTGGGTAAGGACAGAAAGACAATATTATATATATTATATGCTCTGACACAGTAGAATTAATACGACTAAAAATAAAACTGGCAGAAAAGGGTGGGAGAAAGGGTAAAGTTGAATAAGCTAGTTGATTTCCTTATAGAGTCAAAGATGCCATTTTAAGCTGACAAACCAAAGAGTAGAACCTAAGTTTTAAAAAAGGGACTGAGCCATGGCTGGTTTGCTCAGTGGATAGAGCAATGGCCCGAGGACTGAAGGGTTCCAGGTTCAGTTCTGGTCAAGGGCATGTACCTTGGTGGTAGGTGGGATCCCCAGTCCTGGTCAGGATGCGTGCAGGAGGCAACCAGTAGATGTGTCTCTCTTACATCGATGTTTCTCTCTCTCTGTCTGTCCCCCTCTTTTTCACTCTCTCTAAAAATCAATGGAAAAATATCCTTGGGTGAGGATTAACTAAAAAAGGGACTGACAGGATTATATAAAGATATTAGTATCATGTAACAATGAAATAAAATATACATCATTCCATATATTAAAAGAACTAACAAACAAAGGATCAAAGATAAAAGTAAATATAACACAAAATAATAAGACAAAACTAAGAATAAAAATGCCAGTCATAGCAATGCATATAAACTCATCTACTAAAATGAAACATTTTCTGACTGGATCATAAAGATAAACCTAATACGGCACCTAAAAATTACAGAATACACATTCTTTTCCAGTCCATATGGCATAGACAACAAGAAAGACCATATGAAGGCCCAAGTCTTAATTTTAAATGAATTGAAATAATAAGTATGTTCCCTGACCAAAACAGAATTAAACTAGACATCAAAAATATCAATAGAGAAAACCTGAAATATTTGGAAATTAACAACATACTTCTAAATACATGGATCAAAAGAAATCACCATATTCACCATTTCCATCACATTATTTATCAATAATTTTGACATAAATTCTACCTTGTCAGGCACCAAGATTGCAATGTCAGCTTTTTTAAGATTTTAAAAAAGATTAAACATTTTTAAAAAATATATTTTTATTGGTTTCAGAGAGGAAGAGAGAAGGAGAGAGATAGAAACATCAATGATAAGAAAGAACCATTGACTGACTGCCTTCTGCATGCCCCTCACCGGGGATTGAGCCCACAACCCAGGCATGTGCCCTGACTGGGAATCAAACTGTGACCTCCTGATTCATAGGTCAATGCTCAACCACTGAGCTATGCCGGCCGGGCAAACATTTTTTTTTGTTTGTTTTACTGAGAAATAATTTGACCTGCGTCGCTATATAAGCTTAAGGCATACAGCATGATGATTTGATTTATATACATTGTGAAATGATTACCACAGTAGGTTCAGCTAACAGTCATCTCCTCCTATGGATAAAATAAAAAGAAATGATAAAAAAATAAAGAAAAAAATTTTGTTTGCAGGTAAATGTACTTTTCTAGAATAGTACTTATCAAAAGACAATAAAGCGCCCTTCGGGTGTAGTGGTTGGGCGTGCACCTATGAACCAGGAGGTCATCATTCAATTCCTGGTCAGAGCACATGCCCCAGATTGTGGGCTCAATCTCTGGTAGGGAGTGTGCAGGAGACAGCATATCAATGATTCTCTAATCATTGATGTTTCTCTCTCTCCCTTTCCCTTCCTTTCTGGGATCAAGAAAACAATATTTTTAAGAAGAGACAATAAAACAATGTCTATATAATACTGAGGAGAAAGATTTGACAAGAATTGTTTGTCAAATTATTATTTATGTTTGGAGGTAATAGATATTTTTTCATATGCAAAGACTAAAAGAACTCACTATTTGTGTACCTTTACTAAAAATTACTTTAAAATATTAACCAACCAATCAAAAGATTAATTAAAATTAGGAACTGAGGAATGGGAAAGGCATGTAATAAAAGGCAGGTTGGTAATATTGGAATTGGAAAGAGCTTGGAGAAGTCATGTCCCCTATAAATGACAAACAAGGTCTGTGGCTTGGAACAGGAAGAAATGGAAGCAGTTGAAAGAGCTTCTATTGCAAATAATGTCACTCACTCCAGAACTGCTATTTCTCCTAACTTTTTAATATTTTAAAGCAGGTCTAAGTGGAATTGATAACTAGGCAACTAGTGAAACCCTGGTGCTCTCAGCACAGCCAACTCTATTTTTCACCCATTACTGGCATTCCTATTTCATCAGACCTTTTGAAATTTTCAACAGCTACCATCATCTTGGAAATGGTATTTCCAAATAAATATGTGACTGGAAAAAAATTTGCAGAACTCTGGGCACAGATGATGTGTTTCTGGCATTTGGCTGTCCACGTGTTTCTGGGGCTTCAGAAAAGAGGCTCCAGATGTCCATCTGACCGATGGCTTTCGGGTCAGCGGGTACCAGTGCCAGGTGCTCTGCCACTGACACTAAAGGAAGGCTTGTGATGGTGTGGGAATGACTTCATAGGCTAGGGGGCTACCTCATTTTTCTCAGGATCTTTTTTATCAAGAAAGGAGAGCATAATAAGAGCAGTTCTTCACCTATTAATGGGAAATTTGCTGGAATTCCAGAGGAAAGTCTTCAAATTCTTGATTAAACATTGGGCAGCAATTTTACTTTTTTTAAACATAGAAAAGGAGCATGTACTTCCTCATGGTTTAACATGCTTGGACAAGGTTGCTCACCATACCTTCTGGGTAAAGCCCTGCAGTAACACTGGGCCTGCTCAAGAATGGAGAGCTCTGTTTATAAGGGACCGGTCACTAGGAGTTCTGTGTTCTAACACTGAAGTCAGACTTTCTGCAAATCTAGAGTTCAGGAACTAAACTTTTCCCAAATCTTCTGCAGGCAGAAGCAAACAAGTGCCAAAGGTTACTTCTGATCAAGAGAATCTTAAGACTGACATGTGGACTTACAATCCACAACTTGGTGATACGGATGAACATTAATGACTTGGACTTTGTCAAAGAAAATAAACTCAGTGAATTGGGGGCGGAGGAAATTATTCAAAATGAATTCAATTACTTTTCAACTCAAGCCTACCATCATTTGGCAAAGAGCTTTGACTTCATTTGCCATGTGTGCTTTTGCAAGCTGGGTTTTATAACCCGTTTGTCACACACACACACACACACACACACACACACACACACACACACACATCAAAACTGATTGGATGTCAAGCATGACAATATGTTGTCATATTAAATCCACTCAAAACTTCCTCCTACTTTTTTAGTCCAACTTCAGTAGCCTTCATGGTGAAAGCTGGTGATAAGCTGAGCTGAAGTTCAAGTTTTGCTCTGCTTGGGAATTTTTATTTCTTTTTTTGTCATAAAGTAGGTATTAATTTTGCATTAAAAATAAGTGATAGAGGCAGAGGTTTGTAAAGAATGTTTTTCACATTTTTCTATGTGAAATCAAGAGAAGGCTGAGACTTGCAAGGGCAGCAATGAAAGAATTAGGAAAAATTAGAGAGAGACCAAGACTAAGGTCATCGATACCATCGTACTACGGATGCAAAAGTTGGACGGTGAAGAAGGCTGATAGGAAAAAAAAATGATTCACTTGAAATCTGGTGTTGGAGGAGAGGCCTACAGATGCTCTGGACCATCTGAAAGACAAACTAGCGGGTCCCAGAGCAAATTAAACCTGAACCATCGGTGGAGGCAAAAATGACAAAGCTGAAGCCATTCTACTTTGGGCACATCATGAGAAGGCAGGGTCTTTGGAAAAGACAGTAATGCTGCGCAAAAATACAAGGCATAAGGAAAAGAGGGGGAGTAAACAGAAGATGGACTGATTCAATAAAAGAAGCCTGAGGCTGTGGAGGACAGAGCACTGTGACCATCACTCAGTCATAGACTCGCAAGGAGGCAGAGCTGACTCAACCACACGTAACAGACAATCACATAGAGAGAAAGTGTAACCAATGTCTACTATCATAAAAATAAATGCTATCTAAATTTTTGTGCCTATGTTTAGGTACCTTTTCCCTGTAAGTTCACATCTTTTAGTTTCAAAGAGGTCTATGAGTCAAAAATCTGAAAAAAACATTTACAATATTTCTAAAGGCCTTTCTTTTTTAAAAATCATTTATGTGTAAACTGCGCTATCATTTTCACAAAAAGCTATCATTCTCACTCAGCTGAGTGGAACTGTTCTTGGAGGGTCTGTCCTGAGTGGAAAAAGAGAAAGATGCGCAGGTACCTGATGGTTTTCCACACGTCGAAGCCGTCCAGAGGTTTGGTACCATTCGTGCTGCCCCCGGCCAGCTTCACCAGAGTTGGCAGCCAGTCGGAAATGTGGATGAGCTCCCGGTTCTTCACGCCCTTCTGTTTCAGCAAGGGGCTGGCCACGAAGCCCACCCCTCGCACGCCTCCTTCCCACAGGCTCCACTTTCTTCCTCGAAGGGGCCAGTTATTGCCCCCGGCCAAAGTCTGCCCGCCGTTATCTGAAATATAATTAGATGTTGGCATTAGGACAATGTTTAAGAACGGAAGACATCTGTGTTTGTTGTTATAAAGGGTGCTTAAGAACTAAAAAAGATAATTCCTCCTTACCCTCTCCTGTACCAACTACCCTTTTCCCTCTTGAAACTACCCTCCATCACACAGACATAACCCGATCTGACAGGAGACCAATCGGTCCTCTGTGGACAGGGCCACTGAAAAACAAAGGCGTCCCCTGAGGGTGACTGCTTGGGGTGGAGCCCTGCATTAATCAATGCATTGGGTTGTTGTTGTTGTTTTTTTAAATAATATTTTTTTATTTTTCAATTAGAGTTGAGGCATAGGGTTTTAAGTGTATGCTTGCAGCTTGGTGTAACACCAGAGGATGAATCCAGGAAAGCCGAGCCCTCCTGGCACATGAAGTGAAACCTGTGAATGAGTTTCACTTAGCGACTTACAGCTCCTGATAGGTGGGGACAGCGGACCTTTCCATTTTCCCCTTGGAAACGTTTTCTCACATTTAAACTGGTAACTGAACCAACACTCTACTCCCTGGTGATTTGAACTCTTTCTTAAGTGCGAAAGTTGAAGATTTCTCCAGTGGGCTAAATGTCTCTGTAAACAGAGCAGTCGGGTGGAAAAAATAATTGCAAGAAGAATTCTTCTCTTCTCGACAGGATGATGGCAAAACAGAAAGTTCCGTCGTGTGCTGTGCCAGGAGAGAGAAGGGTTTTCTTCCAAGACAGCTGAAGGAATGGAGGACCTTGGTGAGGCCAGGAGAGAAGCTGCAAGTGTGCCCGAGGTTAAGTATCCCACCAGCCAGTTAGGGCTCAATTAGCAATGAAGCTGGACTGGAGAAAATAAAAAGGGGTATTTCTTGTGTAGTGAGGTTGTAGAATCATATTATCTTCAAAACTATGCACACACTTAGGTGACGTTAGAGACCTATTTTAAATAACACTTATTTGCATGTATATTATACTACTTTAATTAAACGTTTTTTAAAAAACCACTGTGATCCAAATGAACCACATGGGGGCAGTAATACAGACCTGCTCTACAGAATCTTACAAATAAAAATCTAACACAGAAATCAAGATCTTCCAAAGCCACAGATGCACATGGGAGGAAAGAGAACTAATGGGTTAAGCAAGCACCTACTATGCACCAGGCACCATTTTAATTTCATATTATCTCTCACAGAATCCGGAGTCTGACAGACCGGAAGCCTGATGCCAGTCACTCACTAGCTGTGTGAGGTGGGACAATAGGCTGTCTCAGTTTTGTTTGTTTTTTACCTTTAATGTGCAGATAATAATTGCTACCTCATGTATTATGGTGAGACTCATACTACATGACTAAAATTAAAATGACACCTTTTATAATCATTGCTGGGTTGGGTACCTGGCACAATCTAAGCACTAAATAAACGGTAGCTAATATTTTAACAACCCAAATAGTCTAGTGTTATAATGATGATGTTGCTTTAAAAAGTGAGATGTGAAAAGGCCAAACCAATAACTGGGACATGTAGGATTCAAACAAGGTCTGTGTGAATCTCCAGGTACCATGCTCCCAGAGTGCCATGCTCCTGACGTTCTTTTTTTTTTTTTTTTTTTTAAATATATTTTATTGATTTTTTACAGAGAGGAAGAGAGAGAGAGAGATAGAGTTAGAAACATCGATGAGAGAGAAACATCGATCAGCTGCCTCCTGCACATCCCCCACTGGGGAAGTGCCCACAACCCAGGTACATGCCCTTGACCGGAATCGAACCCGGGACCTTTCAGTCCGCAGGCCGACGCTCTATCCACTGAGCCAAACCGGTCCGGCATCCTGACGTTCTTGACGTAGGGGGGTTTTAGACCTTAGGCCACAGAAAGCTTCCCTTCCCTATGAAACCATAAGCAGTCAACCTCAGCCAAGTGTGCACTCTTCCTGTGATAGAGCAGGAGAGCTTTTTCAAGGCGGTCGTTCCCTTTGGAGGAGAATCGCTGTTGTTGGTGGGTAAGAAATTCAAGGATCTACTGCCAAGGTGGCTTCTAATTAGCCTTTAACACACCTGGTCCTCTGTTCTTCTCTGCTTTGTGAAGGGGAGAAGAGTCTTGGGTCAGATGGGGTGAAGGTAATAATTCTTCAATACTTTGGTGGGTGGCAAGCAATCTCAGCTGCTGTCACAGACTCACAAGAACCTCTCCTCAAACCTCATATCTCCTCTTAAAAAAGCCCAAGGCCCCAACAGTCACCCAAGCCAGTGCATTAAATACACATTCTATTTCACATGAGCTGGCCTGTATATTCAAAACAAGGGCACCATCTTTAGACAAAGGGATTCCTCCATGTTCCTTATACTTCTAGAGTATGTGACCCATAACCAACATATTAAAATTTAAAAGAAGGTGGTGTTCATGATACAGAAATATACCAGGATAGAAATGCTTACACTCTACCTGTGAGAGCAAGAATGGCTGAGACAGCACTGTTACTTCGCTCTATTGTCTGGCTTGTTATAAACGATGCTGGCTCAATGTAGAAGATGTCTGTTTTCTCCATTTTAAATAGATGCACTTTTGAGATTCCAAAATGTCTCTTCCAGTTGCACAGATTTGTTAGTGCTCAATACAAAAGTTGGATAATGATGGTGGTGGGAATAGAGTGGAGATGATGGGGTAAGGGTGGCTGCGTCTGGAATCGGATTCTAGGAGCAGCCCTTAGGAATGAGTTGGAAAGGAAAACTCTCTAGGCTGGAAAGAGAATTTGGCCACCGTTGCTACTGTAGGAGCTGGAAGGTGTTTCCTCACAGTATCAGGGGAGGGTGCCAGCGCAGTGAGTGTGACTGCTTCTGCCATTAGCTCAGTGTGATGTTTTTGCCATTAGCAATGATAAGCCATTCTATCGTCGGTTATCAATGTGGCTTCCTCCACATTTTTTTTTTTTAGAGCACTCCAGAGATAAAGCACTGATAATTAACACACCTGCAACTTGTTCTCCTTGGCTCCCCAGTCACAGAGCCAGCTGTGGATGTGGCTGCGTGAAGAGGGCAATTCAGCTTTGTAGGCAGGGTGGGGTGAGGTGGGGTGGGGAGGCTTGTGTCTCCACAGGCAGCACCAGGCTGATGGCTGCCGCTTATCAGGCCTTTGAAAATAGGGCGCTGTCCATCAGTCTTAGCACAGTCTCCCCAGTATTTCAACGAATTGGACACAAAACTGATCAGGGTAACAGCAAGAATCAAATAAGCTCATTTGAAACAAGGTAGAATAGGGGGTTTCTTATATTGCTCACTTAAGTCTGACATAAATGAAAACGGGTATAGAGTATTGCTGAAAGATAGTAACTAGTCTTTTGGGGTGATTACTTTGTAGAGCATACAGATATTGAATTACAGTGGAACTTATATAGTGGTATGTACCAACTTTATATAATATATATCAACTTATATATTGTTACATACCAAATTTACCTCAATAAAAAATTTTAAAAATATAATGGAACCACCACCATTTCAAACATAGTTCTTTTCATTGTCTCTCCTAATTTTCTTTGGGCAAAAGTTAATTTTTGTTCTTGTAAAGAATTAATTTTCAAAAGAAAATTTTCTTGTGTCATTTCCTGACTGACTTATTAAAAAAACTTCCAAATCCAAATAAGATGACTGCAGCTAGTAAAAAGGAAACTATGAAACATTTTTTTCAGGGAAATGGTTTTTCAGAATGTTTTTTGGCAGAGGGAAAAGCTAATTATAAAACCTTTGCTGTCCAGAAAAGAAATGTCAAAATAAAACAAATGCTGTCATACACAGATGGTAAATCTCACTTTATTATTCATTATTGAACAAAAATAACTGTCAAAAAGTCATGGAAAAACAGCGGTTAGCCAAAGATCTGAGCAAAAGCATTAAGTATACGACCATGAAGCCTCATCCATATCCAGCTGATAAAAATTAAGATGGAACCGTGACAACAACATTGGCTTTGAGGACTACTCCCCACACGATGTAATGTTGTGGCTTGGCTGTGGCAGGCTGCCCTGAACCATCAACATATATCACCATCTCACTGCCCCCAGGGATCTTTTAACCTGGCTTCCCCAAGACATCCTCCTCTCTGCGTTGGGGATCATGGAAGGAAAAGCGGGGAACGCCCCTGCAGCCTTGCACAGCGTCTGGACTTCCCTCTGAACAGGGCCACCAGTGTGAGTGTGACAGATGAGTAGACATGATTTCAAATACCAAGAAGCCTCTTTGTCCAAACAAAGGGCCTGCTTGGTGATGGCTGCTTCTTTTATACAAAATTTTTTTTACATAACGAATATGTACATTGGAGAGTTAACATGTAGCTTAGTAGTTCGTCTAAAAGATTAGGTAAATTATATCTTCTCTAACTAAAAAGATTTTGGAGAAAATATCTACCCAGATACTCACTGTACAGCCTGATGTTCTCTTTCCTTTTTGCTCTACATTCAACCACTTTTGATTGAATGTGCATTCATTTCTGCCAAGTGTATCTTTCCAGTGGGTTTCCAATCCAGCCACACTGCCACGGGTCTGCCACTCCCCTCACCTGGCCTGCCACTCCCCTTCACGTTGCTGTCAGGGGCATCTTGGTGAAGCCCTAAACCAACAGGCCACATCTGTGTTTAAAGACCTCTGATTGCTTTCCAGTCAGGAAAAAGTTCCAACTTCTGCCCAACACAGAGAATCCTTCACAGCTAGACCAACCTACTTTTGGAGCATCAGGTCCTGCCCTTCCCCATAAAGCATGCCCTGGGCTTCACATAGAACTAACTTCTTTCCCCCTGTAGTTAGAACAGTTTCATGCTGTCTTTGCCTTGTACATGTTGGTTCCTTTGCCTAAATGCTCTTCTGCCCCTTCTTTCCTGCCTGACTTAAATTTTAAATCCCAGGTTAAATGTCACATCTTTGGTGAACTATTTTTTGTTTTGTTAATCCACATCAGAGGCTATTTTTCCATTGATTTTTTTAAAGGAGAGTGGAAGAGAAAGG